AGGATTACAGGAGTGAGCCACTACACCCAGCCTTGCCCCTCACTCTTGTCCTCTCCAGTCCTCCTCCTCTGAGCAGCCAGAGGGACAAGACACCCCTATAGTGGCTCCCCAGTACCCTTGGCCTACAAGATCCTTCCTGGTCTCCTCCCACCTCCCCCCTGCTTGCCCACTGAGCTCCAGCTACCCTGTCCTCTTGCTTTTTTTTCTTGAGTAGACCAAGCTGGATCCTGCCTCAGGGCCTTTGCACTTGCTCTCTCTGCCTGGAAAGCTCTTCTTCTAGCTCTTCCCGTCTCTGATTCCACTCTTTGGTTTCTTACTCAAATGTCCCCTCCTCACAAGGCCTCCCTGACCCCCTATTGTGGACACCCAGATCTTCCCTATAGCACTGAAGGATTTGTTCCACCAGCTGCTGAGAAGGATGACAGCTGTCAGCCTGCAGCTGTCACCCCTCTCTGGGAACTGCCTCAGCTGCTGAGAGCCCCTCACCCAAGGTCATGTCCCTTCCTGGGGCAGCACACATCCGATGCGTGCATCTAATATCTGGCACAGGGTCTACCCCGGGAAGGGACATGTAAGGAGTGCCGACCGAGGAGGAGCAGAGGCTCTGCCCAGGGCCTGGGTGCGAGCAAACTGAAACGCGTTCTTCAAAGCCTGGGATCCAAAAGATTGGCTAGAAGTAGACAGTAGGGAGGGTGGGGAGTTCAGGTAGGAATGAGGACAGGAGCCTGGGGGAGGGGGGATGATAAGGCAACTTTGATTGGGAAGAAGGGTCAGCTGGAGCGAAGCTGGCCAGGTGGGCCTTGAAGGTCGTGGTCAGGTACCTGGGTTTTCTCCCAAGGGCACTGGGGAGCCATGGCAGGTTCTGAGCAGGGGAGGGTCAGGTGTGTGCTATGGAAAGAGCTCTCTGGCTGCCTTGTATGGAATAGACTGGAGGGGGCAGAGGTGGGGACCCCGCGGAGAGAGAACCAGGGCAATCACCACAGACGTGCAGAGAAAGGGTTCAAGGCAGAATATTCAGGATGCCCGAGCAACTGCAGAGCTGTGGGCGGGGAGGAGGAGGAGACAGCTGATGCCAGGGCCCCGCCTGTCCTCCCCCGTCTCCCGGGGCTCTCACAGGCCACGTGCAGCTCCAGGGTCTGGGAGAGTTGTGCGTCCTCGGACGCGTCGTAGTCTTCCACTCTGCAGCCGTACGTTCCGCTCTGGCCCCGGTGCACCCCGACCAGGGTCAAGTTCCCCTCAAGGTTTATATTCAGCACTTCCTCCTGCTTGTCCTAGGTGACCGGGGACGAGGAACCGGGCTCAGGAGCCACCCTAGCGCAGTGCGGTTATGCTAGGTCAGGGGTCACCAAATTAGTGTCATTCTGGGCCAGGGCCCATTGGTCAGGTACCATGTTAAGTCAGGACTATCCCAAATCAGGCCTCAGAGGTCCTTTTATTTTATTTATTTATTTATTTATTTTGAGACAGAGTCTCACTGTGTTGCCCGGGCTAGAGTGCCGTGGCGTCAGCCTAGCTCACAGCAACCTCAAACTCCTGGGCTCAAGCGATCCTCCTGCCTCAGCCTCCCGAGTAGCTGGGACTACAGGCATGCGCCACCATGCCCGGCTAATTTTTTCTATATATTTTTAGTTGTCCAATTAAGTTCTTTCATTTTTAGTAGAGACGGGGTCTCGCTCTTGCTCAGGCTGGTTTCGAACTCCTGAGCTCAAACAATCCGCCCGCCTCGGCCTCCCAGGGAGCTAGGATTACAGGCGTGAGCCACCGCGCCCGGCCCCAGAGGTCCTTTTAGCTAGTTGGTCACCAGGTCAGGTGGCTTGCTATGGGGCCACCCAGGTCCAACATCAGAAGTTGATGCAGATTAGTACAGCGCAGAGGTTGGGGGCTGGGGTCCCATGGGGACCATAGGGTGGGTCACCTGAAGGCGGAAGAAGGTGTACTCTGGGCTGGGGCTGCCATCCCCCCGGCAGAGCAGCTGGACAGAGTCGCCCTCGCGCACCCAGCCGGCCGCGGTGGACGGGCTGCCCACCCAGAACTGCACGTGCTCCGTGGGATCTAAGGGCAGAGGACACGGGAAAGGTGGTCAGGCGACAGGCAGGGCTGGCTGAAGGCAGAGCCCTGCATCAAAGGTGAGGTCATATGTTTCGAGGCTCAGGTTCACACTTATTCTGAGATGGGGTGCCAGAGTTCAGAGGTTGAGGTAAGCTGAGTGCACAGGTCAAGGGTCAGAGGTCACTGTGGGTGACAGGTCAGTGTGAGATTTGGGGCCACATGTCACATGGGGACCCAATTCAGCATGACAGGGTGGGGCACATCATTTAGTCCTAAAACTCCACAGGGTTCGGGTTGCTTTGTGGGGGTCAGAAGTCAGGATGGGGCTCATGCTCCCATTTGAGGTCAGAGGTCGGTGGCCAGCACCGGCGCGCATTTCAGCGGGAGGCAGGGGGGGCGGAGGGCCAGAGGGGAGAGGTGTGGAGTCCGAGGTCAGGGGGTCGAGGGCCAGTGTGGACTCACAGTGCAGGGTGAGGCGGAAGGCGGGGCTCTCCAGGCGGCCGTGGTGGCCCGAGGGCAGGCTGTAGTGGGCGGCACAGTGGAAGCTGGCGTCGCGGTCGGCCTTGTGGAGTCGCAGGTAGAGGGTGCTGCTCAGAGACAGCAGGCCTGAGGTCTCCCGGACGGTGCGGCTGGTCATGTAGCCCTCTGGGAGAGATCGGGGAGGCGGTCAGCCAGCCCCCGGCCACCACCTGCCCCCGCCCACGTGTCGCTGGGCTCCTGCACCGCTCACCTGAGTTCACCTCCATGGGCACCTCCAGGCGCTGCCCGTCCCGATACCACGTGATCTGGGGGGCCGGGTTCCCGTTCTGGCTGTTGCAGGTGGCGATCTGAGGCAGACACGGCAAGGCCTGGGCTCTGAGCCAGGACTCTGAAGTCTGGGTCTCCCTTCCCGCAGTTCTCCCCACCCTGCCCGCGACCCAGAAGTCCAAAGCCCAGCAGCCCCCTACTCCCCGGACTGAGGAGCCCAGGCCTCCAGCCCCCTCCTCCGGCAGGACCCGGGATGCTGGGCCCACAGCTCCTACTTCCCAGGACACGGGAGTCGGGGACCCCTGCCCCTCCCGCTTCCTACCCCGGAGTCCAGGCCACTCCTCGGTTAGGACCCAGCTGTCCAGGCCCCCTGTCCCCTCCTCCCCCAGAACCCTGGAATCAAGGTCCATCCCTGAGGTACCTGCTGGGCAGAGTCTTCCATCACAGACAGTGTCCCTCTGTTGGGGGACACCTCAGTGGCCTCTGGCTTTGCTAATAGGAAAGATGTTTGTGTCAGAAGCCCCCCTCCCCGGGCCCTCGCCTGCCCGCCCCCTCCCAGGGGTGCCCACCGACCCACACTCACCAAACACACTGAGCCGCGCGGTGGCCTCGGCGGTGCCTGCAGCCCCAGCCCTCACCACGCATACATAGTCCCGCTCATCGCCCACCTGGGCCTCCGCCAGCACCAGGCGTCCCCGGGAGTCCAGCTGGTACGGGGGACTGCGGCCCCGGGAGTCGTGCACGGTGCCCTGGAGCTCAGAGCCCTGCAGCTCGGCCGAGGCCAGGCGGCGGCGGGCCCCGGAGCGGTCGGTCTGCAGTCGGGCAGGCGGGTGCTCAGCTCCGGCCGCCTGGCCCACTCAGCCTCGGCCTCTCCCCACGGCCCCTTCACTCTTTGCTGCCCCACGGGGCTGCATCTTTTCCCCCTTGTTATCACTCTCTCTGGTCCCTCTGTCCCTCTCCACCCTTCCCACCCCCGTTCCTTATCTGTTCTCGATTTTTCTGTCTCCCTTTCTCCGTCTCATGATGTTCCCATCTTTCCTCCTCTGTCTCTCCCGCTCCCGCCTGTCTCTCATTTTCTCTCCTCTTTAGTCTTGTCCCCGAGCCTCTTGCTTTCTTGGTGTCTGTCTCTGATTGGTCTCTCTTACAACAGCCAGCCGCGTGAAGGAGGACTTCCTTCTAGACTCGGCCGAGCCCAGACACCTGGGAGCTTGGAGAGCCCCTTCCCTCTCTGGGCCTCAATTTATTACTCCATCTGTAACACGGAAATACAGCTTGGGGGATCTCTTACCGTCCTTCGGGCCCTGACGAGTGTTTGTCGCCCTGCTGTGCCCTGATTCCCAGCCCCCCCCACCCCCAGCCCGAAGCACTCACAATAAACCATTCCAGCACATAATGGTCGTGGGCTCCCAAGGGAGTGCAATCCAGGGTGACAGGCTCCCCTCGCATCACCTCCACCAGGGGGGGCACAGACAGGTGCACCTCGGCCTGGCCACCTGTGGGAGAGCAGTGGAGATATCTCCCTCCACACCAACAGAAAGAGTCTTCCAGGCCAGTGCGGTGGCTCACACCTGCAATCCCTGCAATCCCACCCAGCACTGTGGGAGGCCAAGGTGGGAGGATCGCTTGAGGCCAGGAGTTCGAGACCAGCCTGGGTAACATAGCAAGACCGTCTCTACAAAAACATTTCAAAATGAAAAGTAAAAATTAGCCAAGTGAGGTGGCGCACGCCTATAGTCCCAGTTACTAGGGAGGCTGAGACAGGAGGATCACTTCAGCCCAGGAGTTCAAAGCTGCAGTGAGCTATGATCATGCCACTGAGACAGAGGGAGACTCTATCTCTGATAAAAAAAAAGAAAGAGGCTGGGCATGGTGGCTCACGCCTGTAATCCCAGCACTTTGGGAGGCCGAGGTGGGAGAATTGCTCAAGTCTAGGAGTTTGAGACCAGCCTGAGCAAGAGCGAGACCCCATCTCTACAAAAAATATAAGAATTAGCCAGGTGTGTGGTACATGCTTATAGTCCCAGCTACGCGGGAGGCTGAGGCAGGAGGATCGCTTGAGCCCAGGAGTTTGAGGTTGCAGTGAGCTAGGATGACACCACTGCACTGTAGCTCGGGCAAAAGAGCAAGACCCTGTCTCAACAGAAAGAATGAAAGAGCCCTACAGACAGGGTCTCTCCTCCCCCAGGACCCAGAAGTCCAGGCCCCCAGCCGTTCCTCCCCCAGACCCGGGGGTAGAGCCCCAGCCCCTCCTCCCCCAGACCCGGGGGTCCAGCCCCAGCCCCTCCTTCCTTACACCCAGCTCCTCTCTCCTTCCATCTCTCCTTTCTGCATTTCTAAGCCTCAGACCCCATTGGCATTCCCTCCATCTCTCCCTTCACTTGCAGAGAGAGCTGAGGGATTCTCTTCTGGGCTGCACGGGGGGGCCCCAGTGGTCTCTATTCACTGCTCTTGGGGTTGGCAAATTCCCCTCAAGGGCAGGGCCAGGCCTGGCTCATCCTTTTGCCTCCTCCAGCACCCTGGGCAGGACCTGTCAAAGTGATGTGGGGTACGCGTCTCTGTCCATCGTGGTCTTCCTCTCTGCGTGTGTGTCTCCACCTCTCCGTCCCTGTCTGCCTCTCTCAGCCTGTCTCTCTCTGTCCCCATCTCTCTGAGCTCCTGGTCTCTTCTGCTCTCTTGTGAATGGAGGGGGGCTGGGTGTGGGCTGCAGCTGGGCCTGGTGCTCAGGCGGGATGAGTGTGTGGGGGTGGCAAGGGGGGACAGGGCTGGGCAGGTTTCAGGAATGTGGGAGGGACAGGCTGGCTGAGACCTGCCCGGCCTGGCGCCAGAGCCCCCCGCCCGCCCCTCAGCCCCCCTGTCTCTTGGATAGAACGGCGAAGGGGGTAAGGTGAGTCACATCAGAACAGGATAAAGTTGAGGCCCAGGATCCTGGGATGAGGGAGAAGAGAGCTAGGGGCCTGGGCAGCTGGCAGGGTCCTGGCAGATAGAGCAGTTCTTGTTGGGAAAATACCACGCTCTCTCACCCTCTGGGCTGGCATCCTGGCATCAGCTCTCAGTTCTTAGAACCTCCCTTCCCCACCCAGCTTGGCCCAGCCCTACCCCTGGGGACCCACATTTACAATGCTTGTGCCAGGGGCCTGGGTTCCCAGGCATCTACCTCTGGCCCCAGCCTGTCCCAGGGGAGGGTCATGGGGCCAGGCTAATGCCTAGAGCCGAATCCAAGCTGCAGATCGCAAGGGGAGGCAAAGAGATTTCTTCTCCTTCCCTAAGCTCTCTCATCTCTCTGTCCCTCTGTCCCCAGCCCCTCAGGGCCTCCTCCCCTGCCACCACCGCGCAGGTGTGTGAATTTATCTGGGGCCACAGGAAGGGGGCACTGTCACTTGGAAACACTTTGTTCCACTATCACTGCCCAGGGCTGGTTCCAGCCCTTTCCTGAGGGAGATGGGTTCTCTATACAGTCTGGACTCTGAATTTAGGTTGGGGAAACCCTCAAACGTGTATGAATCACTGGTTTCCAGCTGTAGGGTCCTGGCTTCTCTAAGGGGCCCTGACCCCCCAAAACTTGAGAACCTTTGCGGGAGGACCCCTGGAGTTTTGGTGGTCTGTGTCCTGGGAGAAGCCACTCTAGCCACTGGAGGCCTGGATTCTGGGTCTG